GCTTCCTGATGAAAGATTAGTTGATCTTGATTATGCGGACGATATCGTCTGCTTTTCGACGATGTTGCTACGGCACAATCAACCCTGAATAGAGTGGTCCCATTATCTGGTATGCACTTCGCACCTTCAAAGTGCAATTGTTGCTGCAGGACCACCAGCCACTTTATGACTTTTTGACCCTTGCTAACGAGGAACTCGAGGTGGTTGATCAATTCACCTATCTTGGCAGCTACATCAGCAACGATGGGCGCATAGAAACTGACGTCAGCTCACGCGCATTGCAAAAGCCAGAGCTGACTTCTTGAACCTGCGGCATCTTTGGCGACAGAAAGGAGTTTTCCTTTATCTGAAAGGCCGTGTATTCAAGGCCACAGTGAGGGCCGTTCTGCTCTATGGTAGTGAGACTTGGCCTCTTCGATCTGAATTTTTGAGGCGCCTTCAAGGCTTTGATCATCGTTGTCTGTGAAGCATTGCTGGTGTCGGATGGTACCAGCGTGTCCGCAGCGATGATGTGCGTATGCGAGTACTAAGTAGTGATAACCATGCTAGCTCCCTAGAACAACAGATAGCACTGCAAAGGTTGCTTTGGCTTGGGCACGTGCTACGTATGCCTGGTCACCGCTTACCTAGGAGGGCCTTGTTTAATCTGCCAGGTGTAGGGTGGTTCAAGACTTGAGGTGGACAGAAGTTGACTTGGCAGCGGGAAATGAAGTCACTGACGATCAAGCTGGGTGCCGTTGGTCCGTCTCGTCTTCCCGGCTGGGGTCCACGTGACTCGCCTTGTGCTTGGCTCGAGACTTTGCAAGACATGGCTCGCAGTAGACACTAGTGGTGCGTCTGCTGCCGTCTCCTAATCGGATTGCCTGTTTAAATTGTGTTTTTACAGAGTTTAGCGGACTCGGCCGCAGCTAATGCCAAGAATATTTTGCTTACCTTAAATACGCAGCCGGGCAAAACTGTCTTTACCAACGTTATTTTGAGTAGGCGGGACTCGTGCGCAAACTGACTATGACAAGGCTTGTATATTTTGTGATCAATATACTGGGGGTCTTTGCTCGAGAGATCTCTTTACCACAGGTTGTATTGGTTTCAAGAGTTTGAGAGATTTGCTTACTTCCTTTCAGAAACTTGAAAAAACACCGTAAGAAGACAAAAACTGGTAAATGCGTGCATTTCATATTGTCTTCTCAGCACCATTAACAATAACCGGTATGCAACTGTATACTTACATATGCGTGTGACCCAATAAGCACGAGGTGCCAAATGGAGGACGGAAGTTCCACCCATATGTCCACGTCAGTCTTAAACTGATAAATAATTGCTTTTGAACACATAGGGCCAGCTTATCGCATCGGCCTCGGCGAAACGGAGGAGGCGGGGATTATGGTGATGTTATACAAGTGTGAACGCTGATGCAAGCTCTATCCGGTGACCCGCAGTCAGTAGGTATTTACCTATTGAGGAAGCTGACGACTTGCGCAAGCACGGAACTTCAGTGGGACAGGGATGCTGGTCAATTTCACGTTGAACCCACCCTAGCACGTGTTCCTTTACTCTGGAAGTCAAAGACCGATTGGTTCTGCCTATGTAACTGTCTCCGCAGTCGCACACGAATTTGTATATGCAGTGTGAGTTGGCCCCTATCATTTGAGCTTCCTTCGTTGGAGGCACCGGCAAGTTACAGGTTCTATTGATGACCACAACCTGAGCAGCACGGTAACTTCTCAGCATAGCAGAGATTAAGCGTTTCGTGGTTTTCAATACAGTATAGTCACCCTTGGGATGTAACTCGATATAGATCTTTTTCTTGGCTACCGTATGCACCAAGTCTTTCGGGCCTCGCTGTTGGCTGTGTCTCTCTATAAATCTGCAACGAGTGTTGTTGTAATTAACTCTAGCTCGTCGGCTAGACAATCAGCTGAGCAAATTCGTCTAGCACGACTAACTAAAGTTTTCACAAGGGTCCTCTTGTATCGCACTGGTGTGAAGCTGGTGAAGTGCAGATATTGGCCGGACCAGGTTGCTTTTCTGTAGATAGACCTACTAATGAGCCGGTCATCTCTGCGACTGATGAGGATGTCTAAGAATGGCAGACAGTCCTTCTGTTCCACTTCGCAGGTGACCCGCAAGTTGGTATGTGCGCAGTTGAGTTGCTGCATCAACTAGACAATCTGCTGCTCCGATGAACAAAAGGCCAATATGTCATCAACATAACGCTTATAGTATGGTAACCGGGCTATTTCTGTGGATATGCCTCTTTCTATCATCAGCATGAAGAAATCGGCAAGTACAGGGCCTAGTGGGCTACCCATTGCCACACCATCGATTCGACGATATAGGGGGTTCTGAAAGTGGAAGCCAACATTTGCTATACACAGCAGTAAGGATGCCTTTATAAATTCGACTGGAATTGGTAACGAATAACTAAATTGCTCAGCTAGCTCACATATTTAATCAACAGTTTGTTGTTGTGGGACGTTGGTGAATAGATATCCCACATCCAAAGAACACATGACCTTATCGGAGTGATTGATGTCATCTAAGTCACCGATAAGTTGAAAAGAATCTTTTAGACTATGTGGATTGGACAGTTGTCGCAGAGGCGAAAGTATCATCACTAGCCAGCGAGCCACTTTATGTTGCGGTGCATACGGAAGCCAAGAAAAAGATCCATGTCGAGTTGCATCCCAAGGGTGACTATACTGTATTGAACACCACGAAACGTTTAATCTCTGCTACGCTGAGAAGTTACCGTGCTGCTCAGGTTGTGGTCATCAATAGAACCTGTAACTTGCCGGTGCCTTCAACGAAGGAAGCTCAAATGATAGGGGCCAACTCACACTGCATATACACATTTGTGTGCGACTGCGGATACAGTTACATAGGCAGAACCAATCGGTCTTTGACTTCCAGAGTAAAGGAACACGTGCTAGGGTGGGTTCAACGTGAAATTGACCAGCATCCCTGTCCCACTGAAGTTCCGTGCTTGCGCAAGTCGTCAGCTTCCTCAATAGGTAAATACCTACTGACTGCGGGTCACCGGATAAAGCTTGCATCAGCATTCACACTTGTATTACATCACCCTAATCTTCGCTTCATCAGTTTCGCTGAGGCCGTTTTGATAAGCTGGCCCTATGTGTTCAAAAGCAATTATTTATCAGTTTAAGACTGACGTGGACATATGGGTGGAACTTCCGTCCTCCATTTGGCACCTCGTGCTTATTGGGTCACACGCATATGTAAGTATACAGTTGCATACCGGTTATTGTTAATGGTACTGAGGAGACAATATGAAATGCACGCATTTACCAGTCTTCGTATTCCTGTCGTTCTTTTCAAAATTCTTGATTAGCTGATTTTAACTTAACGGAGACTCAGATCTTCGAGCTACTTCTAGGTAATAATCCCTCTAAAGCTTCTGGTCGTGATTCACTTCATCCGAAGTTGTTACATGGATTGGTCGCTGAGCTGAGTGGTCCTCTTATATGCCTGTTTTCACTATCGCTTGACAGCTGCGCCCTACCTTCGGAATGGAAGGAGGCAATCATCTTCCGACTTTTAAGGACGGTGCCAGCGCTTTGCGCGCGAACTACCGGCCTGTCAGTTTGACAAATGTAGTGGTCAAGTTGTTTGAAAAGCTGATAAGACATTCAGTGGAGAACCACCTGAATAGCTTCAACCTCCTCAATGTTGCGCAACAGGGATTCCGCAAGGGATTTTTCATATCAGTCTAATGTACCTGGAGATCGTGGAAGCTGGACCGAAGCGGTAGACAGTGGCCAAGCTGTAGACGTGCTATTCGTGGACTTTTCGAAAGCTTTTTACACTGTTCATCTTCGACTCTCACTAAAGTTGAGGTTTTACGTGATATCTGGTCGCACTCTTAAATGGGTGTCTGCTTTCATGGAGGAGAGGGAACCTTGCCTACGGGTGGGGGTAGCCTTTCGCTCATGCAATCTGTCCTTATTGGCGTCCGGCAGAGCTCGGTATTGGGGCCATCGTTGTTCTCGATCTATGTAAATGACTTGCTGGGGAGCTAGGACTGTCATCCCTAATGGTTGCTAACGACCTTGAGCTCTGCGATATTGTGGATATCCCGGGGGTCCTGATGCGATTCAGCGTGCCTTGGATAGGCTCTAGGAATAGTATACCTTATGGTTGATGCCCATAACTAGAGCCAAGTGCTCTGTTCTCCGGATCGGAGCTACTAGTTCTCCCACCCGATATGTTGTCGGCGATGGTGAGATCCTTGTTGTCACTCAGCAGGTTGATTTAGGGGTCGTACACTCATCCGCACTTCATTCTGTCGACAATTGGAAGAAGGCTGCTTGTCGAGGATTTCGTATAACGTGGTTTATCCGCCGCTCCTTCGGAATCCTAACGGTCAATTTGTTTGTGAAGCTGTTCTCGACATTCGTCCGACCCCACTTGAAACATTGTATCTAGACTTGTCCACCATGCCTTATCCGAGACAAAATGGACTTGGAGAGGGTGTTACGCGTAGTCACTCGGTTGGTGCAGAGTCTACGGGGACAGACGTATCCTGAACACTTACTCATTTTGGGGATGTACTCAATGCACTACCGAAGGATAAGAGGGGACCTTATTCTCACTTATCGTATTTTGACCGGTAAGATCGACCCGGACTTGTCAGGGCTATTTAGTCGCGCTAAGTTACCTAACCTCCGCGGTCACTCACTGAAACTGCATAAACTACGGTCTGATAGGAAGAGGACGGAAACTCGTCTGTCGCGCCTAGTTATAGATCGCTGGAATTCGCTTCCAGATCATGTGGTTAGGGAACCTACGGTTAAGAGTTTCGCGCGCCAGCTCGATACTCTTGGGTGACAACACCAAACTTTTCCTTTTTCCTAACTGACACACCTTCAGTTTTCAGTTCTCTTTTTAATAACTCGAATATCTTTGCATTTGTTTTGCTTAGCTCTTTCCACTTTCTCTTCTTGCCTTCTGAGTTTACTTTTTTCTCTTTCTTACTTCACGTAACCGGCCCAGCGGGGACTGCCTGGTTAGGATACGTGGGCATTGCTTGATTGGACAGGGTGTGATGCTTTGGTTTTAGGTCCAGCTGTATTTCAAAGTCTGCCAACTTCTGCTTCAACGACCTACTACAGAAGGAACAGTCACGGGATAATCCTATTGTTCCAGTCCCACTTGAACTTGATCCTACAGCTTTTAACTTATTAATCAGGGAAAATGTTCACTTCGTATCATTCTTGCCATTGTACAGGGACATGTCACTTACTATTTCAGAAACATGTCTCTGGGACTCAACAGAAACATTGTCTCAGGTTAGAAAGGTGAGTGCTTTCATTTCTCATAAAGGTCTGCTAATATTCCATCTTTGCCCCAAAGTATCTTCTGCGTTTACGCATCATCTCATTTGATCGGCTGTGTTTTGTCTGCTAATGTGCGTTATTGATTGTAGGGGCAAATTAAAGGACTTGTAGCTAGCAATTCTAATATGATGCCCTAATCGAGAGCCGGTTTCAGGAGAGAAAGGGGATACAACTGAACTTTAGGGCGATAGCGCCAGAAGAACAATGATTTATCACAGTTACAATAGCAGTTGCTTGACAAGTCGCGTAGGATGTCACTGGTAAAGCTACAATATCAAACGATATGTGAGGTGTCTGTTTAAGCGTCTTTTGAGCAAATGCGCCGCTGAATAACAGTGGTGCAAAGTGATAACTGAATGCAAAAACCAGACCACATAGGGGCAGTTGTGATTGATGTACTCCTTGAACATATTAAAAACAATAATACTCAATCATGTGCCCTCTCCTTAGATCTACGTGACACAAATCCCGTTTGAAGGCATGATTGATATATTCCAAAGTAGCACAGATCCGGTAACCAACTGGTGAGGGCTGAGGGCAACATTAAATCGATTTTTGAAAATATCCAAGGTAAGAGAGTAAACAACTGAGTTTGGGAAAGAGTTCCAGGGTTAGCGAACCCGAAGAGAAAAGTAATTCCGTCTGCATTTCAGAGGGCTATATGTTTCACTCAGTTTCAGACAGTTACATCTGAGATTGGTTTTCGGGCTGAATTTCAGCACATATGTGAATACTGTCACACAATATTTGGTACACTGTTATAAGACCGCCACGCAGCCTTCGATAGCATCCACTGAAAATGCCCAGTGCCTTCAGTCTTAGTTGGTAGGACAGATTTCCTAGATCCTTACCTCCTTTGTAGCCCTTCGTTGTGGTGTCTCTAGCCCCTCCAGGTCACGCTTTAACCAAGCTTGCCAAGTTTAGCTGGCGTATTCAACGTGAGGGCGCACGTATGGCTGTGCAACATCTGGAAGATGGATGGGTCGAAACTGCCGAATGTATTTCGCAGCGGGCCGACATGCTGGTTGCCTCTTTTCGCGGCTGCTTCAGACAGTTTCGAACAGTTGACGTCACTTTGAATGCGCACACCAAGGTCGCGTTCCTGGGAAGTGGTTTGTAATATGTGCGACCTAAGCCAATACATCTATGGCTTAATGGAACAGCACGGCATTTATCTACTTTGAATGGTAGGGTATTTTGAACTGACCAGTTCGAAATCGTGTTGAGGTCGCGCTGGAGCTCTCCGTGGTCGTCCTGTACTCTGATCGCTCGCCATGTCTTGTTGTAGTCCGCGAAGAATCGGATATCGCAAGTAATTGCTCTCGCTAGATTGTTTATAAAACCAAAAACAGACCAGGCCCTAGCACCGAGCCTGAAGGTACACCTAACTCCACCTCGATTGCGTCGGCCAGGCGTTCTCGTCCACTCACTTCCACCCGACGTACGTGCAGGTAACTGCTTATACAATGCAGGACTGGATCATCAATGCCCATAGATCCGAAGTTTATAGAAAAGAATTCGTTGGTCTAAGCAATCAAACGCTTTTGAGAAATCCAGCTAGTTGACAACCACTCCTGTTCCACCATCAACTGCTTCAGCTATTGCGTTCCACTAGCAGGTTCGTAGTGCATGAACTGTTTTGCCGCAAGCCATATTGCTTCAGCGCTGTTAGGCTGGGGCTTTCCAGATACTACATAGGTGCATCATCGGTGATTGATTCCATCCCTTTGGAAAGCAGAGGAGGCAATGCTAATGAACGGTAATTGCTTGGGTCAGTGCGGATACCTCCCTTCTCAATAGGAGTGATGACCTCTCGCCTCCATATTGTTGGCATTCGGTTATCCTCAAAATTGCGCTGATAACTTATAGTTTAGCGCCCAAAACGATAACTACTATCTTTTATGTTCAAATTTAACCGTTGGCCAATTGTACATCATTCTCGTTTTAATCTTCTTACAAACGCTTCGTCACTTGACTGCTTTGTATGTTGTCACGCTGGCGCTTTGCTCCTACCTCGCCTCTTGTAACCCATAAAATATGGTCCACTGTGTTCAACTTCAATTGGCTTCTGATACCAGAAGAAAGAGTTAGCGAACAGACTTTGTTTTCAGTGGTTCATCATCAGGCCACTACATCACGAAAGAATGACATTGAAATGTGAACAACGAATAAGGGTACATGTTCGGAAGCCTAGTCAGACTAAGTGCCCACGCTAGGTGATTGGTCCCACAACGATCAGAGGTGTGTGTGGTGTTAATCACACAATATGTACGCGTTACAGGGGCCAGGGTAGGGTTAATGCCTGGACGAATTTCTTGTGCGCATAGATCAGGGCCATGAAGTCTGATGGCAATCGCTTCGGCCGCTGCCAGTGGGCGACATCTGACCACACGTGTATGGCGTCTGGATACGCGGTAGATGGGATGGAACGCTTCATGTGCATCAACCTGGTGGTTTGAATTAACCAAATGTACAGACACGGCGCTTGACAATGTTTAGGTCAATCCGCTATACAGCCAAGCTAAGCAGTGCTCCCGGGCTCTCTCAGACAATCTCCTGGTGATTCTTCCAATATCTCTTAATGGACACGAACAAGAGAAAGAGTAAACACAAAAGGGAATACTTGAACGCGGAATCCTGTCCTTTAGTTACTGGTTCATAATTGATACTGGACTGAAGCTTAACCTTAAGCCTGCTGTCTAGAAGGTTTGAGAAATCGCATCAGAAAGCCTTCTATATGTTGATTCAGCTATTCCGTCCCCTTTGAACGGGTGATCCGAATATTTACATTGGAAGTTAGCCTTGTAATCCATAATTACACCACTTCTAGTTCTATCGTTCCGGAGCTGCGACATACCAAGTAAATTGACCTCGGAATGAGCTATCTCAAGGCTCAACCAGGTCTTCGTAATCATAATGGGGTCCCGCGGTAGAGAGTCCTGGCTTTCTTCAAGTTCAGCCAACTTACTAAGGCCTTGGATGTTAGCATATAAACAGGATAGTGTTTTAATGTTAGAGGTGTGTTGGTGGACGTCAAATTCAGGCTTGGTCTTTAACCTACCGTTTGGCGGTTGGTCGCTAATCCTTTTATTGCGTGGGTCGTTGGTTGTTGAATTTCGGTCAGGATGCATGGTAGCACAGTGCGCTCCGGACCGCGACGTTCTCTCCTGTGTTCTCTGTCCTGTCGAGTGTTGTTGTGTCCATCGCTTTGCAGGGCTGTGGAGGGTATGGTTATGCTGCGGTTGCGTGTTCCATCGAAGTGCTGACCACTAGTGGCCGTGCACCTGTTATCTTTAGCTCAACCTACATATTATGTCTGGGCAGAGAAGCAGAAATGGTTGCAAAAAATATAAGTGTATGATTGAATGCAGTAAACAAAATCGAATCAAGAACTGCAGCACTACCAACTCTTAGATGACCAATCTGGAAAACTTTCCGTGTGAGAAATGCAACTTGTGCCAAATTCCTTACGGACAGGTCTTGCTGCGCGATTACAAGCAAGCCGCCATCATGTAGTACAGATTGGTAATGAGATATTTGCGATTCAGCGGCGAGCAGCACCACGGTAAGCTGTTAGTGGGAACGATAACAATCCGTACATGGAAAATATCAGCAAGACCCGACTCTCGAGATACCAACGACGTGCCGGAAAGTGGCCTCTTCCCCACAGTGCCCCGACACTTTCTGATGAAATTTTGCTTCACGAAGAAACGCTCGGCCTTTGTGTTTATTTAGCGTTGGCTGGCCAATTCATCAGGATGGGGGAGTTGAACAATATAGTAATGTAAAAGAAACATATGCACGTGGTAACATCAACGCGACAAAAGCTCACGTGTCATTCACAGGGCCTGGCTAAGACAGCTCAACTGAAATCGACAGTTGATGACCGACAATTGAAGTATAACTGAAGGGCCAAGACCAGACCTAGGAGAGGCGTTTAATAGCGATGACCCAACTATTGAGCTGCTCAACGCCAAGCCGGGGTAGGTGGCTTGATTACTTTCGTTAGCCGAGGTGGCCTGTGGGCGAGGGTTTGGACAAACATCTTTTTTGCACACAGGCCCGGGTTCGTAACCGACTACTTCTGCTGTCCACATCAGGCGGTATCTGACCGCTCGGTGTGGGACCTAGGTGTCTGGTTTATGGGCCGGAAGACATTCTGTATGTTGATTATGTGGTTATAATCCGGCAGATGCACCCGTTACAGTCTTCAGCTTATCACTGTAGACAGAGTCGGACAGTCTTCTCTAGCCCTGACGGAAAGTTCCCCGCCAATTTTCTTAACTTGTCTATCTCATTACCATCAAAGTATTGTTCACGGAATAGAAATTGGTGGCCAACTTATTCTCCCTGAACTTGCTTCTCAAGTTGTGTGGTCGTGAAAAATGTGTATAGATCAGTCGCAAATTACGTACTTGTAGAATTAATGAAATGCCTATGAATAGTCGGTTCCGCTATCGCTTCAACTTTAAACGGTAACAGATGATACAGTAACCGTAGTTTAACGGGCTTCAACTTTGGTAGCAGTTTCGGACTGAGTGAAAGAGCCTAGTTGCGGCTAGGATGTGTTTCTCACCCACAGCTATAGTGTATTGTCTATGTGCGTGCGTGTGAAACAACCTGGAGAATAACCTTGTCTAATTTCAACGAGGAAAATTGTGTTCTTATCTTGTCGGCTCCACTGTTAACGAGTTAGGTGAATTGCCCAAATCCAGCTACTTCCTTATTGAGGCTATTTGCACACCCACTTACCGTACCAAAATTTATTGAATATGTACTGCGGACAGCTCGTGTTTTGCAACACGAAAATAACCCAGCGTGGTGAAAGCACCAGACATCGCGACATTCAGGAGACTTCTAGACTCATCTTAATGCTAAACGCTACACAACAGTGTGACAAAACGCGATCTCTTTACTACTGATGGTTCACGTTCCATCTTGGAATGTTTTTGCTTTTATTACTTATGAGTAGGAGAATTTTAGTTGTAATTCTTAAGGTTTTTCGTCCCAGTAACTTACAAGCTACATAGTTCAGCCACAATCCGGGAAAGCACCAGACGCGTTTCGCCCTGTTGGGGCTCGTCAGTGGTGCGTATTCCCTCGATCCCCTACTGGGGATCGAACCCACGACCGCTAGAGGCAGATGCCAACTAGCCAGCAGCTTAAGCCACTGAGCCATAGGGGACGGCAGCCGTGCTACATAATTTACAGGCTAACTGGGATATAGCACAACCTATCTTCCACTGCCGCGCAGGTTACTACCCTTGCAGATGACAGTAGCTAGCCTTCAGACTATGGCTTCCTGTCACTAGATGCTACTTCCACAGCATTTGAGACTAAAAGAGATCCCCAGTAGGGGACCGAGGGAATGCGCACCACTGACGAGCCCCAGTAGGGCGGAACATGTCTTGTGCTTTTCTGAATTGTGGCTGAGCTATGTAGCTTGCGAGCTACTGGGACGGAAAATCTTAAGAAATCTTACTTTTAATTTTCCTGTTTATTTACCACCCTGTGCGTCTTGTAAACTTATGCTTTTTATCCCAACATAAACTATTGAATATCGGTCAAATTTACGTTTTTTGATCTCAGAAGCAATAGTTTCACGTTTACTGCGACTGCCGATGCAGCGCAGTATTCGTCAAATTAATCACACAAATATTTAGGGAAGTCACAGCATAAAATGCACTGGTCATACAACTGTGCCGACGTATTCCCTACTCCACGATTTGCTTCGAACTAGACTGTTATTGGGTTCCGTAAAAGCAATGAACTCACTGGATTGTTCCATTGAAACGAACAAATCTGCGAAACCACGGGGTATCCGGCTGGCTTAAAATCACTAAAATACGCACCAATTAATGTGGCTACTTTTCTCTCTGTCCGATGTTGGAGATAGGATTCATCCTCTACGGTTCACATCAGATCTCGCACCTGTGAGTTGACTGGTATCTAGAGGCGTTGTTGGAATTGAAGACGACTGAACTGTGTATTGAGCTATTGCGAATGCTAAAACTATGATATCTAGAAGATACTGGGATTGCATGTGTACCGGTGCTTCAAGTGGAACGGCGACTTAATTCAGCATGAACATCAACAGCAGTGCATAGATATTTTATATTACTGATAGAATCCGAGTAGCTCGCAAACAACCAACTGTATAACTTCACCTTCAGCACAATCCCCTCGGGTCTAATGCGGGTTTCCGTCATTCTTTACCACGCTTCGACGCACTGCTGGAAGCATTCTTCCACGATGCTCCTTAATACCAGCGTCGCTTAGAGCAATATCAATTGAGTATGAAGGCTGTTCTATTATAGTAATTTTTTCTCGGTCAGGAATCTCCGAGTGCCCGGAGCGTTATGAGCAGGAGTATAGTCATGAAGAAGCATCCACGATTTACTGTCATAGTTATCGTCTGTTAAAGCGCACTCAGCGAAGCAAACGTTTCAATAATAATGCAACAATAATTGGCATAAGTGCGACATAGTCAATAGTCAGGTTTGAAGTGCATGTGACCCAGGTGCAGTAAACGAAAGTTCATAATCTAGTACGAAAAAGGAAATAACGCAGTGCCAAACATATCTGGCGACAATTAACATTACTGATATTGCATTAAACTTTACACGCCCATCCATGAAGGGCACAGATGGATCGCTCGGTTAAACCACCAATTTGTTCATTTTGTAGCAGCAGACTCCTCCCCCTGATACCTGGCCCTTCATTTCCCACTGTGATGTGACTGTTAATATTCCCTCCCTAGCCTCACTGTGTGATCTGTAAATGTTGGGCACATGTTAATTGTTGCCAGATATGTTTGGCACTGCGTTATTTCCTTTTTCGTACTAGATTATGAACTTTCGTTTACTGCACCTGGGTCACATGCACTTCAAACCTGACTATTGACTATGTCGCACTTATGCCAATTATTGTTGCATTATTATTGAAACGTTTGCTTCGCTGAGTGCGCTTTAACAGACGATAACTATGACAGTAAATCGTGGATGCTTCTTCATGACTATACTCCTGCTCATAACGCTCCGGGCACTCGGAGATTCCTGACCGAGAAAAAATTACTATAATAGAACAGCCTTCATACTCAATTGATATTGCTCTAAGCGACGCTGGTATTAAGGAGCATCGTGGAAGAATGCTTCCAGCAGTGCGTCGAAGCGTGGTAAAGAATGACGGAAACCCGCATTAGACCCGAGGGGATTGTGCTGAAGGTGAAGTTATACAGTTGGTTGTTTGCGAGCTACTCGGATTCTATCAGTAATATAAAATATCTATGCACTGCTGTTGATGTTCATGCTGAATTAAGTCGCCGTTCCACTTGAAGCACCGGTACAGTATTGGTCTCGTACTTCAAAGCGTCTGTTACTTACGGCATGAATGAAATTCGGAAGAATGTTCAACAACCTAGACCGAAGATCTCTTTAGAGGCAAAGCAAAGCTACTCTAGGTGGCATGTGCACTGAGTGCAGTGTAGACTTAGGGGACGACAAAAAATGAAAAACATCTCTAATCATTTCCGTTTTCGTACCCTTATTAGCATCAGCGGTTGTGTAGCAGGTTGACGTGCGCCTCTTCTGCGGCGAGGTCGGTGAACACAGAAAGATCAACACTCCTCTTGATGAACTCCTCCTCAGCCGAAAATTCCAACGAACAAACCAGCCTTACTGGACGAATTGAGTCCCATGAAGGATGTCAGTGTCGGCCGGTTGCTGGAATCTCTACTAACGAGGTAACTGGGGAAATGGATGAAAACCACATTTTGTGCCGCCTGCAGGATCTAAATGAGCAAGTTTCGATGCTGCGGCTTAAACTGAGCAATTTCGAAGCAACAAAAGTGGAACAGAGGCGCATGATCTGTCCCTTGGAAAGTAACTTAGACACTTTTGTCGATAAACTCAAAGAAACTAGAGTAAGTTCTGAATGGACTAATGCTAATACTTTCCTTACATGTTACCTTATCTGCTCTGCAACAGACATGCGTATCACAGTAACTGCTGTTCGAACTCTTAGCTAGTTGCCAATTAACCGACCTAAACGGTAAGGGACTGAGGCTTTATGGGACGGTTGTCATTATACACGTTAGCTAGAGGTGGGAAACACCTCAGCTACTGTTCCTCATTGCTTAAAAAATGCAAAAAGTCTAACAGATACATGCCATCTGAGCTACCGGTAACGGATAGACATCGTTCCGGTAAGCTATCAGCCGGCTAATATGCAGCAAAAATATGATTATGCAAAAGTATGTTATGCTAAGAAATAAGGTCGTAGTGGAGGCGGAGGCTAAGCGGGATGGGGTACGACAAAGAAACTCACAGCACGAACGCCACTGAGGTCAACTCCTAGTCATATCAGCATGTGTATCCAGCCAAGCGTGTTCATCGACTTTCGGACCCCAACCAGGGAGTCGAGACACTCCAACCGAGGCCAGCTTTGAAGTGAGGGCCTTCATTCCTCTCGACCAAGTCATCGCCGGGCCACATCACTTCTTCTTCCATCCACACCCCCGGCGCGCAGTTCATTTCCTTTGCCTTAAATAAAGCGTCGCACATGCTCATTGCTCACGCGGCTGGGGCGGTTGTAGCGACCTGGAGATTTCCGTATAGGATGTGTAAAGTATTATCAAAAACTTAGTTTAATATTGTACCCAAGAACATTAGGCAGCGTGTCTGCTGCATGTTGGTGCCTTCGCTTATATACGGACACAACCGTAATGTGACCTGAACGCTACCTTGTACGCTTCGGAAAATTTCTTCCATCATTCTCACTAGGTAGACTTTTCTTTGGTTTCCTTTAGCATAGCGACCTTGTACGATTGGACAATAAGCGGAGATCTGGTCAAATTTTATGTCTTTTTACTTCTTCTGTACGGTTGACTGGTTGTGCGAATATAACGTCCGCCCACTGATTGCGTTATACGGTCTTTTGAAAAGCTGTGCACTCAAAAAGATATGATCGCGTAAAGTGGAAGGTAGTGAAGAACATAGCCGGATCCAGAGCTACTGAGTGCCCATTTTATGGTCATCGATTTACACTAAATGTCTGAGCTCGGTGCCAAACACTGGCTACGTAAAAACTTGCCGCTCCTATGGGTTTATGCTTGGATATTACCCAGGATGAAGACAAAAGCAGGAGAACCCGGTGTGCTTGCGAGAAACTATTCGCTGCGCACGTTGTCATACTAGCTGAATAGGGTCGAAGGTTTAACCGTTAACTGATTTCTCGCGTAGACGAATCGACTAAATCCTTGTCATTAAACGAACACAAATGATGAGTGCTCCAGGCGAATTAATCATAGTTCTCCCACCGTTTTTTATTTGGGTTCGGTTAGAAAGCTTGGTAAGTTGATCGGCACGTCCTATGAGTCTCTTCTCTGTGTAAGCAGAGTATTTTAGATCTAAATTTCCTTCCATTTATCAATAACTGCTAATGGCATTGTCTTCTGCTGTTTACCAGTCTTACTTCACCTTTAATCGTTCGAACCATCGGCCCAACTACCGTAACCAATGGCCAAACGAAAACTGTGGAACATATATCGGCCGACACCAGCTTAGGTGCACTACTCTGGTCAAAAATCTTGACTTATTGACGGCTTATTTCATGCGTAAAGCTTGTGTAACCATTTGCTGGTACTGGATATCCCGTCCCCGAGGCGCTTTGCTCCACACTACTCCGGTGTCCAATTTGGACCCGAAATCTGATGTCTGATGGATTTTAACCTTCACTTAAAAATGACCTTTGATGGGGTAAAAATTAGGTGTTGCTCTCTTGAAAACACCACTCCATGGCCGGTCTCAAACTCGTTTGCATTCCTCAGACAAAGAACTAAGGATTACAACTCGTACTCGGTATGTCAGTCGAACTCATACCCTTGAGACAACGGGTAGTGCTTGTCACAACAGTTAAGAACTGGCCGCAGTGTATGAGCATTGCTCGGCCGAACACTTTGCACTCCAGCTTAGTTTACTGCCTTAGGTAGATGCAATCAACGAACCAGGGGCAAATGATATGCTAGCCGAAAGCCGCACTTACTTAGCCACTGAGTCACGGCGGGAGATTTCTAAAACACACGTTGTGTGAATGGTTTGCGACGAGCAAGCTCACACAAGGTGGGCCCTCAACTAGCCGCTCCGACCTTTGATATGCTTTCAGCTCACTGAAGTTATGGTGCGCTCCTGACTGACATTGTGTTTGAATAAGCTAGTGAACGGTCGCTTTTGCGCTACTTTCCCTACAGTTCTTACAATTCTTGAGGATAAAAATCACGTCGCACATGAAACAAAGGTGTTGCAGATATATTAGTTTACGTAAGGTTAAGAAATTCGGCGTGCTAACCCACCTCATATTAAGCCATCAGTTTCCACTGGAGTGAAAAGCGAATGAATGCATATGAGTCAGCTAAAATGAATGAAGCACTCATTTCACTATAACATTTAATTGCCACGCAACTCTGCTGAATATAACTGCTCGACGTCCATCCACCACTGAAAAGACGGCGAGGGCGGTAAGTCTACAAACTGGTATAGACTTATTGGGGTCGATTGAAGTCGACTGTGCTGGGTATTCGCCGTTGAAACTAGCCACAGCTCGGTATGCGTAGTAGGGAGCGCGATTTGCCAGTCTGCGTTCATCGCTGCGTAGTGGCACTGAACATTGTTATGCACATCTAACACACGCGGGTGAACACCGATTACGGAAGATCGAAATTCGACACGTCATTCACACGGCTGAACTGGGATTCACATCCGTGCGGTATTACATGAACGGTGGTGTTAAAGCAATTATTACTCAAAAAGCAAACAGATATTTCATCTATGACTTAAATATTTGGATGACACGATAGATACCGTGGTGTCATGAGGAAAGTTTAATGTGCTTACTGCAGCTTGCATAACAGATGTATCAGTGCCCTAAGTAGAACTCACTGATTTGACATCAATGTCCTGAGGGTGGCTCGGTTGTTACTAGCGCAATCATGCATGGTCATTGCATGTCTGAGGTGAGACCGATGAAGTATGCTCTGGTCTCGCCAAACTATTTGACCATCGCAACAATTGTCTTGGTGCTACGAAGCACCTACATCTCTTTTAGCACTGAAGATCTCATGCAGTGGTTGGCCTCTGCGCAACTACAGCTCCCCATGTCTCGAGACTATTCGCCTAGATGCAGCAACAGCAAGAAAGCTACTAGAACTTTTGGCTCAATTCTTTCATCGGTGCTCAGACCTGAGCCATGTTCCTGCTATGTATAATTTTGGAATAATATCTCCCATTCACAAGGGCGAAATCAGGGTTGAGCCTTCAAACAACCACCGATTAGCTCTTCAACCTACAATACCTAAGGTCATGGAATCCGTTGAGATGATCTACCTGTATTTTTCGAAGGCGTTGGATAGTATACATCATTTTATACTCAATTCCAGGCTGCAGTATTACGGGATCGGTAACCCCTTGAACTGATCGCAAACTTCCTCCTTCGACGACAATTAGGGGACGGAGCTCCTAAGCTGACCCGTACAAGTTGAGTGTGGTGTGCCTTAATGCTCAGTTCTGTCTCGAAGGTTGTTTTCGCTATTTCTTATTGACCTCGCACAGCCAATCGCTTCAAATTTCCTACTGTTTGCTGATGATATCAAGACACGGCAATAGTTCATTTAGGTTGGCTTCGTTTACGCCACCCAAGCCATATTTCTCACTTACATGGTGACTAGCACGCACTTGATTAAATTCATTAGGTGGCTACTCAAACGAGTGACAAAGAAGGATGGGGAAACTTGCCAAAGGGCTAAGTAAGCGTTGTGCATCTCGTTCACCTTGGAAGCGGAGTCATCCTCCCCGATATGGCTTATTCGCGAAATCGTTTTCGCTCCCACACTCGTCCTTCTAGTTTTGGCTTGGCCGGTCGCCGAGTGGTCTGCACGCCTGGCTTGCAATCATAAGGTCACCGCTTCGATTTCGCGTAGGGGCGGACGTCCTCGCGGTATACTCAGCCTACGCGCGACCGATGGTGGTCGCGCGGCAGCGAAGTGTCGTTACGCCGTACAGCTAACGACTTTTTTACAATCTTCGTGTTATTATTATCCTCCTCATTTTTCTTATTTTGGCGGCTTGTGTCTACCTAACTGTTTCTACTGAGCTTCGCTGCACGGATCATCATTGATTAACTGAAGCTAATTGTACTTACTAGTTCCAGCAGCAGAACAGTGGCTTACTGATTCTTTGCTAACTCCGCACACATTAAGGATTGTGGACCACGGAACCCAAACCATCTACAGGATCAATTGAATGTCCTGAAATCCTATACGTCTCCCACAGCTGCATTTAAAAAGCTGAAAGAATTTTTGGTGGAGGATTTAGAACAAATTCTATCGCACGAACGGCAAATAGAGGATGCTATCTGTAGCACAACTTCGGTACCATCTTTAGCCTGTACAAGTAAGTGAGCATTTATGAACTAGTTTTAGTATATTAGAGAAAATAAATAAATACTTTATTCACGACGGTGCGCCTGCATAGACATAATCATGGTGATACAACAAGGACTGGTTAATGTAAAAGCGCCACAAGTTTATAAATAACATGGATCTATGCGTTGTGTATGAATGCATGTAGGTAAGAACGAATATGGTTGTGTTGCTTGAATTAGTGAATGTGACGCTGTGTTTGTGATTTATTTAGGTCAGACGTGGACACAAAACCGACGCTCTGACGATTTGTACAATTTATACGTTTTCTACGTGCAATCTTAATTCCTTTTACTGTGCTGTTTCTGTCACCTGAAAATATTGGAAGGATATCTATCAGTTTTTGTGAAAACTGTGTAAATCTTTTACAGTCATCTTGTGATCCGCCTTGTAGTGTGGCTTTCCCTACACATTTCATCACACATCGCCCATGTTCCACTCATCCGACTCGGAATTACCCTCTCCATCCAGTGGATCGCCAAGCGTAGGAATTATTCCATCGTCTTATCACCTAAATCGTCCTGCCGGTTTTGGTGATTTCTGAGCTAGCTGTCCGCATTGGCTGACCAATTTTATCGGTTGATGGCGATCGACCTACCCTGCAGTCGTGTCAGCCTCGCCCTGTCCCGAACTGCGCTCCAGCCAGCAGACAGGATCAAAACTCACACCGGCAGTCATCTGACAGTGCGGCGTTTGGATCGGCGTGTGAACTGAAACCAGCGTGCGTCCGTTTCAATTCCGGTCAGGTTGGTTTTATCGCGTTCTCTCATTCCACAGGTCAGTGCGTGACCAAGAAACGACGTGGCCGCATCCACCCGTCTAACTAGGGTGTGCATTTGAGCGGTAGATTTACCACGCAGTTCGCTTGATGGATGACGCCGGCTAACTCTGGATTCCCACCAACTATTTATTTACCCACCCTATGCCCCATGGCTACCTGACCTCCCGACCTATGGATTATCTAATCCACAAGTGAATAACATGATTTAATTCATATCTCTTATCATCTATTCACTCACCCAATTCATGTGTCATGATGACATGTCAACAGACATAACTATTATGTACTTAGCAAGCCCCATGTCGGGATCTCAGTCTGGATGACCAAAGCAGATGCTTGTCCCAATTGATGAGCGCTGACTTACCGATTATCCTTCATGTGTACTCATATCAATGCTGCCATGACTTCACTTCACCTCTCACTGTGGAGATCGTTCGCTCACACTGTTCAACCCGTCCTGACCACCCCACTCACACACACACCTCGGACTTAAATCATCCTCCCAATCCAGGGGTACGCACCTCCATGCTCCTCCCACCCCCACTGTTTGATTGCGCCAAGCGACTCCAAGAGCTCAGCCAATCGCGTTCCGTTTCCCACACTGCGTAGCAAACCAATGAGCCAAGGATTCACGGATCTAATAAAAGCAAGGTCATAGTCCGATCGTGGACTCGGTATCGTGTGACTCTTTATGTACGGTGGCAAGTACCATTTGCATTCCATTTGGATATCGTGAAGGTCGGTTGTTTCCGAACTTATCCGGCCTTTTCGAGGTATGTACCTATTGTATTTCAATCACTATTTGAATAGTACCGTAGCTAACGTCTCGACTTCCTTTCTTAGTTGGACCAGGGAGCTTATACGCGTCACTCGAGCCCCCCCCCCAAGCGAATTTGTCGCTTACAATGCAACCGGCTTGTCGGAAAAGTGCACAACGTCAACTAGCCAACTGTGTAAGGTAGCAACACTATGCCTAGTAGCAGAAAGCAAGTAGATGTGAATTCAAAACGGCTCCAGTCGAAGGGTAAATGTGGGTCCGCTGAATGTAACCAATTAGTCAAATTCGGCTTACCTTGCTCATACTGTTTTAGATGGTGCCATCCAAAATGTGCCAATCTTTCCCAACAACACCTGAGAGCTCGAAACAGCTCCCAAGACGATATCTGGTTTTGTAATGCATGTTCGACTATCCCACTAATCAAATGTATACTTGTCCTAGTCCAAAAGTGCGAGCCGTTAGCAGAAGAAGTTTAACAACGAACGAACACGTAGATTGTATCGCGAGAAACGAGTATACACCATGATAACACAGTGGCTTCAGATAGAAGCATTGGTGCAAAACTTGCTTCACTCGAACCACGATTGACAAGGTCCCCTTTGCCGTTATCTTCTTCAATTTTGCAAGAACGCCAGACGAAAACAGACCGTAGCTCTGATAAACAAGCGGTACTCAGGACCCCAAAAATCAGACATCACTCGAAACGTGTGATCGACCAAATTCAGCCGGTCTTGACAACTTGTATTATTAACAAGGATGGGACAGCCGAACCCGAGTCTACTGCATCTGCAACCCAAGGGTCTCTGGTCGCGTTCAAATCGCTCGAGGCTCCAGTCACATATGCAGAGATCGTTGCAAAAGTTCCTCGGGATGCTACCTTTACTGTCTCCTCTGTTGCAAACAACGCTAAAGCCAATAGAGCGACAAGCATTGGACCACCATCACTTAGATAAAGCCACGCCCAACGATCATCCGACCTTGTAGTTCAACAAAAATGGGCTCCAATAATAACTCCCTGGCTGTCGTGTGCACCAATGTCCCCGAATATACAGCCATCACATTGTAGGGTAAATTGTCTGAGGACCAAGACCAGTAGCACTCACTGTGAACGCAAAAGCCAAACCCACAAACCTAGTGAGAATTACTCGTCACCCGAACTCTGTACACTATGGCGAACCCAGAATTATTAGGGTAACACTGGGATCAGCCATTGATGTAGCAAACGTTTTACTCTATGCAAATGCGCTACAATGCGAACCTTGTAAGGTACGTATCTATCCCGAGGTCCCTTAGAGCACGCGACAATCGAGAAGCGACATCACAGATGGACATAGCCAAATGGATTATGTAAGCATCATCTTTATTTCTGGCGTCCCAGAACTTGTTTCCCACAATAGTCATGAGGCCGTTAATTACGATTTGGAACAGCGGCGGTTCATTCGTGAAACACATTCCTTGGACAACGTTGTGGGGCGATCGTTCAAAGTATACAGGAAGCGGACCAAAAATGCTAAAACTCCTGGTTCAGTCAGAGCGAACAGCAACGGAAGTGTTAGCATGTTGACGGAGTCATCGTAAAAGCCTTCCATCTGAACTCCGGTTAAAAGCTGCTGTATCCTCACGAAGATCAGACATGAGCGTACCTGGAGAAGTAATCCCACCAGCGATTAAGCGTGAGCGTCACTTTACCGCTCGGTCGCGCGATTCTGCAGCATTTCCAGGAGAGGAATGGGACGTACCTTGGCCAAATCTGTTTGCAATCCACGTGCCAGCATTATCTCATTAAAAGAGCGAATAACGGTCGACCTCGCACCGGTCGACATACCATCACACTTGACTCCTTTTGCTCCCTGTGGGCTCCTAGACACCGAGAAACCATATTGTATTTATGCAAATGCTCTGGGCTTTTTCAATAGGTTGGTCGAACTGATGAATCGCCAAATTTCATTGCCATGCGATATTATCGATGTCACGGAGACATTGTTGCACACTGTGATGACAGACGCTGAGGTAACTGGAAAATTCCCATTTAATCATTAAAAACGAGGGACCGAAGGTAAACAATTGTTTTCGATGAATTTCTCGTCGGACCTTTACAATCTTATGGGGAAAGAACAATGGGAGTAACAATGGTTTCGATCAGTTCAAATGAAATTGGATCACGTGCCAACCGGGGGCATAAACCAGCAATAAACGGAAACGATAAGCGCAAACTAGGGCAAAGATGTAGTCAAATGATTGCTTCTGGCCTCCGAATCGTCCATCTTTTCTGGCCAGGGTAACTAAAGAGCTTCTACCAGTGCCGTTCGACCGATGTAAGTAGCGCCACAGGCACACTCGAACTGATAAATGACCATAGAAGCGGCACTTGTCAAAGCGCATTAATGAGCACCTTCCACGCTGGTTGCGTCGAGGCGGTACCGGGGCTAAAACTAGCTCTGTTATGGCTCATCTAGTTGATAATGGGCGTGAAGTCGATCCAGTCCGCGCTTTTCGAATACTCTACATGGTTCCGCCAATCCAATCGAAAGGCCTGCGCCTCCGCACCCTCGCTACAGCTGAGGCGATCAGTATTCGGTTGTATCAACCGCTCTTGTGTTCACAAAAGCAACTGGTCGAAGCTCTTTAGTTACCCTGGCCAGAAAAGATGGACGATTCGGAGGCCAGAAGCAACCATTTGACTACATCTTTGTCCTAGTTTGCGCTTATCGTTTCCGTTTATTGCTGGTTTATGCCCCCGGTTGGCACGTGATCCAATTTCATTTGAACTGATCGAAACCATTGTTACTCCCATTGTTCTTTCCCCATAAGATTGTAAAGGTCCGACGAGAAATTCATCGAAGACGCTGAAGTCTCGCTTCCGGGAATGTCGCTTCTTAGAAGATGGCCATATTTCCCAAGAGCTGCGCTAGAATCAGCCAAAACCATGCACTTGTTGCTAACCACCACTTTTGATTTTTGTACGATGTTTCCGCTTCAAACGAGCGTTTTGATTGGCTGCTTTGATAGAGCCGTTGAATGACCTAAATCAATTATGAGTGTTCCTCACTTTCTGCTCTGTCATGTTGGCGTTTAACTAGATCTCTTGCCTGAGATTTTGTCTCTTCTTTCCGGGGTGGGATTATTGACTGGTGCCGGATTTGTGTTGCAAGTATGTTTTTGTCCCATGGTTTCTTTGTGGGTGGTCAGTTTTTCCGTATGCGTTTGTTCCGAATTGCGTTAGTGGTCGTCGGATAGCAACAACCTGGCGACGGGCCCTGCTTTATCAATTAGCATCGACAGTGGTAATATCAAGCTTTTCCTGCAGCAGCAGATGAGACTGATGGAGTTGATTACTGAACGACTTGCCGTGTCCTCCCTAGGACAGTCTTGCCAATCGTTCATCGCTGAGGCTAGTGAACAAGCTGCCAACAGTATCCCCAAGTTCTTGTTGATTCTGCGGCCAACGTAACATTTGATTCCTGGTTCAAACGATACTCAGACTTATTCCGCGTTGAGTGTGCACATCGTGACGACGTATGGAAAGTTCGCCTTTAGCTCTGCAAACTCGGTTCTGCAGAACACGAAAAATTCCCCAATTACATCCTACCCCAGATTCCACGCGATCAGTCATTCGATAAAACGGTGTAGACACTTACACAAATATTCAGTGAGCAATCATCACTTTTTAATATTTTGTACCAGTCTTTCATACTTGTGAAACGTGACGCAGACGATTTCGTCACTTATGCCGGTGTGGTTAGTCGGGAACGTGAATGCTTCAAGCTACGCTCTCTCACAGACGACCAGTTTAAGTGCCTTCTGTTCATATGCGGCCTTCAATCGCCAAAGGATGCCGATATACGCACGCGACTTTTGAGCACATTTGTGCAGTACCCACAGATGACGTTACAAACTGTCACTACTGAATGCCAGCGCCTCATAAATCTGAAACACGATGCGACCATGATCCAGAATCCTGACCACCCTCTCAGTTCCATTCATTCTGTGGAGGCTTCCAAACGTCCTGCCAGCAACAGTCACACCCCATTCCGCAAGTAAGAAGATACCTCCATCTCCGTGTTGGAACTGCGGTGAATGGCACTTCGTTCGCTTTTGCTGGTTCATACCCCATCGAGGTTACTGGTGTGATAAAGTTTGCCACAAAGACGGATTTTGTCAGACCCGGGCCAGTTTCAAGCAGCCCGTGAAACCAAAGCAGCGATCAAGACGTCCTACTCGAGCCGTTCACTCCCGTAGCCTTCTAGCTACATTCAAATTGGACGTCGCTTCTCGCCGGAAATTTGTTTCTGGAAAATTTAACGACCATCCTGCCAACCTTCAACTAGACACCGCATCCGACATCACGATAACTTCCAAGGAGCTGTGGAGTTCCATAGGTAGCCCACCCCTTCAAGCTACCTCTCAGGAAGCAACCAGTTCCTATGGTGGTTCGGTTCGACTTACCGGTCAGCTTTCTTGCTCCCTCACCTCCAGTGACACTACAATCAACGATGTTTGTTATATTCCAGACTCCAATCTCAATCTCCTTGGTCTAGATTGGATTGACAAGCTGGGTTTTTCCGCTCTCCCAATAAACGCTATCTGCCACCGACTTCAAGCCCCATCGGCAAAGTCCATTGTCCATGCTTTCCACACGGTTTTTCGTGAGGGTCTTGGCTGTTGCACGCAGTTTCAAGCAACTCTTCGGTTAAAGCCTGGTTGTGCTCCATCTTTTCGATTAAATCGATCATTACCCTATGCTGCCCTTCCGTTAATAGGTTAGGAACTACGCCGCCTCGAAGAACTGGGCGTTCTCTCCCCAGTGTCTTATACTCCATGAGCAGCGCCAATTGTGGTTTTCAAAAAGGCAAATGTTTCAGTTCGCATATGTGCTGCTTTTTCCACCGGATTAAATGCTTCTTTGGAAGACCGTTGTCATCCACTATCGATTCCTGAGGATATCTTCACCATGCTTAATGGAGGAACTTGTTTCGCCAATCTGGATTTACCCGACGCTTATCTGCAAGTTGAGGTATCCCCGGAGTCTCGAGAGCTGTTAACCATAAACACACATCACGCTTTGTTTCAGTACAACCGTCTACCTTTCGGCGTCCAGTCTGCTCCTGCTGTTTTTCAACAAATAATGGATTCTATAACCTCTGGTGTAACCGGCGCGGCAGCGTACCTGGATGACATCATTATAATAGGTCACACCATTGACGAGCTGCACGGATGGATTTCTGTGGTTTTACATCGAATTGAGGAATACGGGTTCCGGCTGCAACCGGACAAATGCCAGTTCTTCCTCTCAGAAATCAAATACCTTGTTTTCGTCATCGACAAAAATGGTCGCCGTCCTGACCCTGAAAATGTACGTGTACTCCGGGAAATGCCCGCTCCAAAGGATGTGTCATCCCTACGGTTGTTCTTCGGGCTAGTGACTCACTACGGCACGTCCTTACTTGCTCTCCACAATGCCAGAGCACCATTGAATAAACTGCTTAAAAGCACAGCGTTTGGTCATGGTCTCCAGAATGTGGGCGCACATTTAATCATCTAAAAGCATTGTTATGTTCCGACCTCCTAACACATTTTGATCCCAAGCTGCCTATCGTAGTCGCTGCAGACGCCTGCAGCTACGGCGTCGGTGCCGTCATCTCCAATGTATTTCCAGATGGATCGAAGAACGCGATCATGCATGCTTATCGAATCCTTACGCCAAACCCTCTTCTCTCCGTATTGGATTGACCCACGTCCGTGGATTGGGTCACATCATCTGGATACGCTAGAGGCAGCGACTTTAGTTGGTGATGAGTCACATCCGCCACGTCACAGTGTTGTTAAACGAACATTTGTGGCTTTTGCTGGGGAGAACGCTTGTCCTTCGAAAATGCACCACCTCCTGATGTACTGCCGCCGAACTATTTGCTAGAACGGGGTAAATCCGAACCACCTAGCTGTCACAAGGGGGAGGTTGTTCGGCTAGCCAGCCAGTCATAGACTTGCAAGTAATGTAACAACTTAACACGCCTTCCACCGCACATGAGTTTACGATGGATTGCGATCCATTTCAACATACAGGGGTGGGTACCAGAGGCAACAAAAGTCAACCAAGTAATTGCTATTCCCCGTACTTAATTATCAGCTACTGTACTTCCCAAAATTGATGCAACCAAATCGAATGAAATACTCGCCAATGAACAGCTCGGATCTGCGTTCGAGCCATTGTATGATCTTCGACGGTCAATGCTTCACCCACCATCGGTGTAGCTGGCTAGTAGTCCGGTGAAGCAGTAAATTGAGAATTTTAGGGGGTGGAATCCACCTTGTTCGGACTTGAAGCTCAGTACTTGATTTAGGTTGTCTTGTCAACATGCATGAGTTAAACCACATGGGCACATTAGGTTTGCCGAAAGGACTATATTTTGTAAAATTTCAAGTTCAACTCGACGTCATCTTTGAGGAGCAACGGAGCTCTAGAACCCGTTGATATTCAGTCGAAAATCGTTGCAATGCAAACCGTGCTAACACAACGGGATACAAAACGGCACACAACTGTTCACCACAAGGCCGGAGCACCACATAAAGTGAAGGTTTAGTAAAATTGTAAACTAGTCCACAAACAACACAACAACACGCACACAACATAACACGACACCGCTAGGGCATACTCTTTGTAAAACTTTAGAGAAATCGCCAGCCAAATTAAGGTAGTTAATCGGAACTATCAATATTAAGACCTATAGGCTTCTTGGTCTATGATCTCTTCCATGTATCAATGCTGGCCGGCTAATTAAAACAGTTTACAATATCAGCGATATCACATGTTATTTCACAAATTTGACCAAAACCCACCATAACATTTCCTACACATCGGTGTTTCCTGATGCAAAATGAGCATGATAAGGGTTTGAAATACCAAGCAGTGTCGCGAAACTTGCGTACACACTACAAAGCGAGCAGCTTATTGTGCTAGAGATTTTTCACTTCCAGTCGGTAATTTCCAGCATCGTTAACACCATTCATAACAATGAAATTCGCAGAGTAGTTCTATCTTTCATGCTGCTGATGACTTAAGGGATTTCCTATAAGGACAAACGGACACTCATAGTACTGCTTAGTGAACCTAGTAATCGACATTAGTGTTTTTTTAACGTGCAGATTGTCCATCATCCATGACCCTCGAACAAGAAGATATAGTCTCCGCCGTGAAGCGGCTCGCCAAGATGACCTTATCTATACATACTGAACGGGAGGACCTGCAAAAACGGCTTGAAGAAGCCAGGGCTAACCACGAAGCGGAGCTTGTACATATTAAGGAGAGCATGCAGAATGAGATGAGGTGCCGAATAGAAGATGCAATAAAGAAATGCAACGAGGAAAGTGAGTTCCTTACTCATCAGCATACATCAGTTTACAAATTTACAAGGGGAGAAACACCTCAGTTGTTGCGCCGAAATACAATACAGTGAGATAGTCGAACGAGATTTAAAATGTTTCGGAAAACTGGTAGCTCGGGTTGATGATTCAGTTGCTCATTCGTTCGCCGAGCTTGGAAGTTTGTTTGCAAACGTTTCACCACCACGCTAGGTGGCATCATCAATGACCTGAGATGTAGAGTAATTTCGCTGACTCAATTGTCAATCTGTGATCGGCGTGCAGGTGACTTTTGAAAGTGACTGCGTCCCGTGATCTCTACCCATTTTCCCCATGGTGAAATTCGTCGCTCAAGTTGTTTCTAGTTAACCGGCGTATTGTACTTGCTCTAAGTTCTTTCCGTCGGAAAGGCTGGTAAACTGGGTCGAGGTCGATATGCATGTTGATTGAGTCCTTTGTTGAGAATCACGTTTCCATGAACTCCCTTTCTCTTATTGTTTCGCCTCGTACTAGGACTTATGTTCTGGCCCAATCGAATCTGTGTTCTTTTTCGTCCACGTGCTCTGAGACTAGCGATGATGCATAGTGCCTTTTGAACGCTCTTTTGTGCTCTTGTATTCATGTTGCTAATTTGCTACCTGTTTAGCCAACGTAGTCCTTTACGCAATTTATACAACGTATTCTATATACAATATTACGTTGCCCATGAGCTTCCAGCTTTGCTTTTGGTTGTGACAGAGTTTTCCTCAAAGTGCAGTTGGTTTGTGTGCTATGATGGGAGAGGCTGTTTGAATAGTATTGCCGCCACTACGGAGATGTTCTTGCTATAAGGCAGAACAACGCGTCTCTCCTTCGTTGGTGTAGTCTGTCTCTTGGCGTTGTTGTGGTTCAGACACTTTCGGATGAAGCCTCGCGGGTATCCGTTGGTCATCTTCTTGTTGCTTTGCCTCCGCGGTACTGCAGTGTGTTTGCACTACCAAACAGTGTCCGTACGCAGCTTACTTTTTGGCATTTCGGGTGGTTACTGCTAAAGTTCAGAATTTGGTCTGTATGTGTGCCTATTCTGTAAACTGATTTTTGCAGCCTCCCTTCCATGGTTCTGGCTATTAATACGTCCATGAAAGACACTTGGTTTTCATTCTCCATTTCCATCGTAAATCGGATGTTTTCAATGGCGTTGTTCCATAGCTGCTATTCGACTGCAATTTGACTGCGTTTGCTGATCACAAAAGTGTCGTCAACATATCGGACCCATAGTTTTGGAATAATGAGTTGGAGTACATCTCCCTCCAATTTCTGCATTGCCATCTCCGCGATGAGTCCCGATATAGGCGATCTTATTGGCGCGTCTTTCAATTGTTCGTAGATCTTCCCGGTGAAAGATAAGTAGGTTGACAGACACAATTGGGGTAGCTTGCATACATTTTCGGTCTTCATGTTCCCGATTGGTTGTTCACTGCTGTTCAGGCGTTCTGTGATGACTATTGTTGCCATTTGTAACATGACAGACGTAAAGAGGACAGTCACGTCGGAAGATATCATCGTCTCATCATCATCTAGTCGCAGGTCTTTAAGCTTTTGTAAAAATTGCTGGGCATCATTTATGAAATGTTGCGATCCACGGGTCAGGTGTTTGAGGCGTCTCCACATTTCTTTCACCAAGTTGTAGGTGAGGGTGTTCCTGGGCCAGAACAACTCCTGGCACGAGGCGAAACAAGAAGAGAAAGGGAGTTCCTGGAAGCGTGGTTCTCAACAAAGGACTCAACCAACATGCATATCGACCTCTACCCAGTTTACCAGCCTTTCCGACGGAAAGAACTTAGAGCAATTACAATACGCCGCTTAACTAGAAACAACTTGAGTGACGACTTTCACCGTGGGGAAAATGGGTAGAGATCACCTGCGCGCCGATCACAGATTGACAATTGAGTCAGCGAAATTACTCTACATCTCATGGCATTGATGATGCCACCTCGCATGGTGGTGAAACGTTCGCAAACAAATTTCCAAGCTCGGCGAATGAATGAGCAACTGAAAATAGATGGTGAGACGTAAAAGAATGAAACATGTTATATTATCGTTTTCTATTATGGAACGTTGGTGTACTACGTGTAAAAAAGCGCAGTGCTTAACAAGTCCCTTTGGATAGAAATCGTGGAGAAAATAAATCTCTATGGTTCAGGGAAAAACGTTTTGGTGTACTCCCCTTAGACAGGTGTGCAAGAGCTGAGATGTTCGCATGATAAAAGTATACATTTACTTTTTGGGATTTTGAAAACCCTCCGTTTGTTTGCGTTTTGTAGCCCTCTGGCTTACAAGTTATGCAATGAAACGCCAATGGGACAATGCATCATGAATTCCTATTTTTAGTATCGTTAGATTGGGGACAGAGACGACATAATTTAGGAGACGGTTCGACGGCTGACACACTCGGAAGGAGAAGAAATTTCTACAGCATTCCAGCTGACAATACTGCATTGGCAAATTCAGACAATAGCCTCTTAGACTAGTGTTGTGGTTTAGTTTCAGCAGCGAACAGCAAATGGTGCTTGGGTTCTTCAGAATCTGGTAAACCATTATAAGATCCCTCCGCAACCGCCGATATCGACTGCTGTGAATCCCTAGAGATTTCAGTCTAAGCTGATAGGGTAGATGGAAGAGGCCCCTAACGTTCTTAGTCGCTCTCCGTCGTTGATTCTCGAGAACGACGAGATCCCGCCACACTTGGACGGCGTATTACACGTGCAGTCACACGTAGGGGTTAAGCCTTTTTGGGAAGTTTAAGGGGTTAAACCGATAGAACGCCCTGCGGAGATGGTCAAAGTTTTGCGTGCTGGTTCTCGACGCCTTCTCTGCTTGTTTTGAGTGTTCGAGATCGTTCTGTTCCAGTACACCCAGGTCACGCTCCTGAGAGACCTGCAAGGTGTGGTCTCCAAGCTTGTAAACGCTCACCGGCTGGTGAAGCAGGTGGATCAGCTGTTACTTAGCTGTGTTCAACTGGAGTAGGTCCCTCATTGACTATTCTTAATGTGCTCCAGATAATGTTAAAGTAGATCGTGATCTTTGTTATTACTTGCTCGCCATATCTTGCTGTCGTCGGCGAACAGCAAGAAATTGGAGGAGATAACTCCTTCCAGGTCGTTGATAAACACCAGGAATAAGAGCGGTCCCAGTACCGAGCCATGTGGAACACTACATTTCACCTCAATCGGGTTGGAGAGTGATCTTCTAACACACACTTGAATCCTACGTTGGTGAAAAAAGTTGTCAATCCAATCAAGAACAAGATTTCCGATTCCATAGCTCTGTAGCCTGTGAAGTAGGATGCGGCGGTCCAGGCGGTCGAAAGCTTTGGAAATGTCCAGATAGATGACGTCAACTCCGACCCCATCAGCCACTTCCGTCCAACCACCTCGTGCAATCTGCAGGTTGGTGGTGCATGACCGGTTTCGACGGAAGCGATGTTGCTCCAGTGCCAAGATATTGCATTTTTCCAGGTGATTCATTAGAGTCTCAACGAAGACCGCTTCCATCACCTTTGCGAGCACAGGGAGGTAAGTCACTAGGCGATAGTCTACTGGGTCTGAACGCCACCACAATTAAAATTGGAGTAATAATGCCATGCTTCTACATTGTGGGGACTTGTTGATCATCGAAGCATCTTTGGAAGAACTGTGGCTCGACTAGCTTGGTGACCGCAGCCTTCAGTGTTTTCTGGCGGATGTTGTCGGCTCCCGGAGAGCTATGATCGCCCAGAGTAATTTCCTTAGTACAGTTGCTGGGTTGAAAATTACATGTGTAAACTCTGGAGTCAGTAATGTGCTTGACGGTATGTGACAGGTAGAGGCTGTGAGATCGAAAATTGGGGCGTACTGTAGCCGCAGGACATTGGCTGCTTCGTCGGCGCTTGTGTCCTACCGCCTATTGTGAAATGTGGAGGGATGCCATGCTTTATTTTACGAAGACTGTTGACATGCCTATCCAGTAGTTTGTTGTTCTCCAGAGATCGTTGTTGGACGAAGACGCCAAGCGCGAGGAGTGGGACAAAGGAACCCACAACACAAATACTACTAAGATTGGCTCTTCGACATGTCAACGATCGTATCAACCAGATGTGATCGTCGTCTTTCGAACCCTAACCAGCTAGTCGACAGGCTCCAACTAAGGCCAACTTCGAAGTGAACGCTTCTATTCCTCTGGATCAAATCAGAGGTTAGCGTCCCCTCCTCTTCTCCCATCTACACCCCGGTCGCGCAAACATGCACGTCAAGGGAATCGGAGTGCTGGCATGCGGGACAGGTGACCAAGCGATCGGAGCCTAGTGCGTGAGATAATGATGCTAATCAGTTCACTCGCCCTTCCTGTGCCCTAAACAAGGCACTGAACACGCTCATTACTCAGCAGTGTTCCAACCAAATGTGTGCCGAAAAATGAGAGAACCTGTGGTCGAAATTAACAAGCCCCCTTATGTCTGTCGATTTAGTGGGCCAGGTTTCACAACCGCACAGTTGGAGTGAACGGACACCTGAACTGTAAACTCTACCTTTCATGCCAAAAATAGTGTCGCACCGGCGTCATAAGTGGCAAACTTGAGCAAAAGCGCCTCGACCTTTGGCTATACGGTTTGTCACCATCTTCTGTTCCACAGGCGCCGATATACCTGCCCAAGGAGTTGAATTTCTGAACGACTGCTAGCTGCTCCCCACCAACGGTCAGGTCAAGGGGCGGTCACTGCCACTTTTGCAAGAAAACTTTGTATTTGGACGGTGCGGAACAAGGCCCGGAACGGCTGACAGCCAGTGCTAATACGCCCAGCAGTGTTTGCTAGTTTGTGAACTGTCACAGACCGGGGTACTATAATCGGCATACTCCAAGTCAAGATGTCGATAATTTGGAAGTAGTCCTACACTCTCCAAGCCGCGTCCGGGCAACACAATTTTTGCGAATTCGTCAGCTGCAAATTCAAAAAGGAATGGTGACAGCGGAAGTCCCTGTTTTGCATTGTTGGAGGTATTGTAGGGAAGCGACAGTTTGCCATAAGCCCTCATTCTCCCAGAACTACGCGAGTAATACACCCCTATAATGTTTAGATATTTCTCGGACACACCTAACGTTATCAGGCATTCCTAAATGGCAAACCGATCCACAGCAGAACTGAACGAACCTGGAAAGAAAAGTTAGTAAATGGCTTACCAAATTTTCGGTCGGGCTCACCAGTTGTAGCGGAATCGTTCGGTTGCTATATATCAGCTTCGTTTCGCCTCAAGGAAAAGACGAATATATGGGTGAGATAGACGTTTATTGTCGAAACGCACAATCCCGCTAGCTGAAGGCACCGTAAAATGGTTCTAGCTAGGGGAAAGTTATAGTCGCCAGTCGAGACGCAGCAAACGCTCTTCGAGGCGGAAAAGCCGGAAGCGCGCGAATGTGATTCGTCTGGATGACTCAAACACACGTAGTCATCGTGCGAACAGGCAAGTTTCCTTAGTTGTCTATGTACAGAATGATATTGTATTTTAATAATATTTTTCGGACAAACAGGACAATCTCCAGGTCACTACAACGGAACCTTTATTTGAGACAAAACAAACAAAAGGGTTTCGATCTACTTTTGCTCAAGTTATACTTCCCTTGCCATTGTTTTTGTTGGCGCAATGCCTACTTTGATGTGAGAGAAAATGTTGTACCACGAAGGGACCATCAACAGCTGTTGGCGCGAACGAATAGACAGTCAAACTTGTTGCTATATTAACTTAATTAGGTGACGTTATTCGTTTTGGTTGCCGCGCAACCAAGCAGGTTAGTGCACAAACGGGTTAAGTTCATGTGGTACAGTCAAACGTGTCTAAGACGACCACTCAAGGGACAGATAAAAAGTGGTCGCCATGGACAGGTGCATGCATAGGAACATTACTCATAAAAGTAAACGTTGGGGGTGTTTTTTGGCAGATCGCCTTAGACAGGTGGTAGCCATAGCAGGTTGGACTATACTTGAATATGCCATTTATACAGACCTTTGGATGTCGGTTTATTGGTCACGGACGGGGTGTGCACACCCATACTGGAACCAGTGTCACTATATGGACCGGAGGCAATCAGTCGGAGCTGAGGTCATCGGGAAACGCTCTCTCCACCATTATCAACTGAAATTTGTGTAAGCACCGAATGTCTGATGTCGATGTCCACTAGATGGTGTCTGACATGCAGCCATGTGGTGCACAATGGAAAAAACATCGGCATTACGTCGGTGCGTCGTACCAACCCTTCGCTGCCGTTCGGCGACCACCAGTCGCGTGCCAGGTCGCCCACACTTACCCAGGCTCAAATCGCCGACTTGTGGATTACAAGTAATGCGTCTTGTCCACTCAAACACCGACCGGTATAGTGAGCTGCTGGTTGTACCCGGACCGCGTACGTAAACTGAGTCCTGTCTTTCACGAACCCAGTGATCATGGTTCCCTGGATTGTGCGGTTTGCCAATATTTCACTTTGTTACTTGGAACATCGGGGTGGCTATTCACTGGCATGGTGAATAAGCATGAGGAAAACTACGGAATGTTCGACTCGGGTTGAGGTGTGTCATCCACTTGAATGAGTTCCACAGGAAGAACTTAACTGAGTAGCTTATCTCCGCGTCAGGAATGGCACATTCAAAAAGCGAGCATCCATGTTGCATTCCTTCATTTGTTTCTAGCTTCCACAAACCCGTTTTTGTTTTATTTTATTTATTGTTCTTTAATTATCACTCCTCATGAGGGTGTGACAATTAGCACTATTATTGGAGCTATTTGCTATGTGTGTCAACACATTTAGTACTCGGATCTTGGTCAGTGAACCGTACTGAACGGAAATTTCCTTAGTGCCACTGGCCGACAGATAAGGAGTGTGCACGATGAGAGTGGTCATTCTATGGGACTCAAGAAACAAAGGTTACACCGATGATTTGACTATTATTATCCAATTTCATATGTGCTGCTCTTTAACCAGCATGTCTCTCAACTTTCTCCTTTGCCCCAATTAACTTCATCTCATCTGCCACCTCATTTGTGAACGTACTGTAGAAAAATATGGCCCCAAACATTAACAAACTTGCTCCCACTTTATTCTGGTTTTACGCTTCATGTGTCACTCTGTGAAAAATGTTGTCACCGTGTGCGAGGTTTATTTCATCTGGCTTTATTGTGACAGGGTAAATGTTGAGAATACAGTCTGCCCGCCGGCATGGGCACTTCGATTGCAGACCTTTCGTCATCAATCTGAGGTTGCATCTTCAGTGCGTATTGATGGTGGTAGCAGTAGTTTGAAGTGATCTTAATAGTAGGAGCTGCAATTCACGCAAATCCAGGATGGGTAAAAGTTCACCTCACCGTCATTGTGCTTGCAGGACCGTGAGTGTTATGGCTCATAAAACCATCGTTGCGCGGTACTGACAACCTTTCTGTATGTGTGTATGTAGATGCGAAGAAGTTGAGGGAGACTCTGGAGCAGATTGTACAGTTGGAAAACAGCCGGCATGAACAACTGGCTGCAGTGAAGCAGGCCATCATTGAACAACTTGAATGCAAGCTGAAAGAAACTAACCAGGTGAGTCACGATAAAGAGATTTTGCTCACGACTTTGATCTCCTTGAGATAAACACAACAAGTTCTTCATGATTAAAGCCAAATGTGGGTAAGCTTAGTGCATGCGGAAAACAATGGTGTCATTTCGGCTTATTATCGGTTACGGTACTTTCTTTTACAATGAAGATAGAATTTTTCATGCTCCACTCAGCGAGATTTAAGATACATTAGCATACGTAAATTAAATGTACTGACCGTGATTCGTTTCTTTCACGACTAAAATCAATAACGAAGATAGCTTTTGTGCTATCACGTGGGAGGTAGTTGTGCAATTAGCAACCTCGCTTGCCGGAAGTATTGGGAGATAGTCAACTAAGGTTTTTCATTCTTTTTCAGCTACGGTGACATTTGAACCTGTGATTCGGATCGCATTTTTATGTATGACCACGTTTCTCGTTTTCAAACTTAAAGCGACTGAGACCAGTCACCGCTTAGGCTATCGTAAGCTAGATAATTTGCTGTGATTATTCGCATGTGGAGTTCAATTGACACAACATACACGTTTGAGTGACCTTGACTTAGAAAAGTCTTCCTCCATAGCTACTTCATCACATATCAGTAAAACTTGGAAATTTCCACATATAGCCACAAGGCTCAACTTAACTTGCATTTATGTTAGTTGTTAGTGGAACAACAAGAGAACCTAGAGGTTGAACGTCAAACTACACGGAGAAAATCGAACGAAGCGGTTGACTTACAGCAGAAGCTAATTACTACAACCTCAGAACTCGATGCGTTACGTGCCCAGGTAAAGGGGTTACAGGAGGAAGCTGCTCGAGTTCGAAGGGAAACCGAAGATTTATGTGAGAAACGTTGGAGAAAGGAAATGGATTCGTACCGGGAGCAGGTGAAGCAACATGCGAGAACCATCTGCGTTATGGAGGAACGCCTTGTCAAACTCGCCCAACAAGCAAAGGATGCTAAAGAGAATGCGCAAATCCTGAAACGCCAGAACGCCGGTAGGTATTTAGGACACGTTTTATGACATTGGGTATTACTTGGCATTTTGTCAGTGACATGCAACTTGGATAAAGGGGCGGGGTTGTAGACAAGCAGTATAAATGAATGCGTCCTCACGGATTCACTCAGTTCACGTTCCCTCGATCAGCTGCTTATTTTATGTTGCGTACTGTGTACTGTGGCCGGACAACATCTCGCTTTACAGACAAATATACGACAAATACACGATACAACACAATAGATCCGAAAATTCCTCGCCTATTGGCCGAAACTGGCAATACTGAAAATGTACAGACGTAATATGCTTTAGTGTGCTTAATTGGGGCCCTTGTAATTGGAGGAAAATCCTGGCGTAGTGTCGTGTTTGGCTTGGTCTGCATGCCTTTAGGCACACGGAAAACAAGTAATAACCCGATGCAACCACAGCTTATGATTTAGTCTTCTACATCAGACACGTACTGCGAAACTTAGGCCGTACCCCCAGTAGAGAAACAAGTTCTGAGGCTGACAACCAACTCAGACCTCATAGCTTCTAGCCAACTGTTACGAGTCGGTAACACTGCTCCCATGTCCTCATAGTGAATAAGTCATGGAGCCGAATGAGAATGATGACATTGGGGTCCGCAAAATGGTAGTTTTCTGCGCCCCCTAGGGAAGCCGATGCTCACTTCAGTCATCATGGCATTGTCAAACCATTAGGAAATCAATAGTTTATTTTCACTCTCTGATTGATTTCCAACCACGTCCGAGGTGGGATGCAGCTTAGGTCAGGGGTGAGAGGCCGGTTGAATCGAATCAAGCAGCGACCAAGTAGTATAAGATTGCCGTGGCAAAACGACATTGGTTCAATCTTGTCAGTGCTGATACTAAATGGAAGCCAACTTATTTTACGCTGTCATAAGCCTCTCCGTCATATAGTCGCTTAACTAAGATAAGCACTGAAGCAGATAGGGGATAAATGTGGAATCGGCACTTGTGGTTGTTCATACGTTATTGGCTACTAAAGGCTCATGCATGTGAAAATGTACCTCCAGCAACGATAGCCACCATAAAGCGAAATAATTTTCCATATTTAAACAACCTACTGAGGTTACTCCACTGTAAATTCATCAAACGTTTGCGTTTCACGCCGCTGTGCGCACGATCCGAGATAAGTACCAAAAGTTATGAGTTCTGTTTCTCAAAATTACGGCATCGTATTTCGCGCTTATTCAACTTAGTGGCGTGCCACCTCGCCATTCGCTGCGACATAATAGCGAGTAGTTCACCAATCAATATATATCCATCGTAAAGCAACACAGTTGGTAACCAGTGAATATTCGGTTATAGTGCTGACTCACATGCAGGAAGGATAAAAACCACAGATGAAGAAGGCGAACTCTGTGAGAAATACCGCATCACTGAACCGCTCAGAAGGCGAGAATTTTCTACAAAACGCGAATGCATGTCTTGCCGCAGCACGGCATCTGACAAAGTCTGTGCTGCTCTATGGGATATGTGAAGAATTAATTCTCATACCCGAAATAAGTGATCGATTCGCTGCAATCTCATGCTTCAAATCTCCGGTAGATGGAACCGGAAAATTCCTAGTACATGTAACGTGATCGGTTCAATGAGCACTGAACAATGACTTTTTACGGGCTAAGAAGGAATGCTTTACAAGTCCAGTTGGGTGGTCTGGTGGGTTATGGAAAAAGCTTAGAAACGGCGCAGTTAGTATTCTTGATGTCAAAATGATGGACTTCTCGTTTTTAATGCAGTAGCCCCGCACTCCACGCCATTTCACAGATCCTGTGGGTGAGTTAATAAAACCAAGATATTTCCCGTGGGTAAGATGTAAATGGCAGGGTACGTCTTCCAATCGACTTCGAAATGTGGTTATTGTATGTGCAGAAACGACCGATTCAAAGAGAGTATTCCACGGATGAAACAAATAGGAAAGCAATTTCTGAGGCACTCCAGACGGCTGTATTATTCTGTCCGTTTCAAGGTGTGACCTCTCAAATTTGTGTTAACGATATGTTGTAGTAAAGTTGCACACACAACCTGGACTGCGTAAAATCAAGTATGACATTATCAGGCCGCCTCATAATCGGCGATACCGTCCACTGAATACGCTCAAACGTTTCCCCCTTTGCTCGTATGGATGCTTGTGCATTCCAGTGACGTATCTGAAAGCCCGACGTTAAGGTTGGTCCAGTGCAGTGAGGTCGTGCTTCAGCCATGTGTGCCAGGCTTGTATTGCCTATTCGACATACGAACATACGCACTGAGAATCAGTCAGAAAATATAGGAGTCTATTTGTCCGAACACCCACCGCAACGGACCGACGTGTTGGCTACCAGTTTTCGATGCCATTTCGGATTTCCGTGCTCTTCTGTCCCATCTGTGGAATTACTAAAACACATTCGACAGTTTTTTGAATCAAACCACACAATAATCAAGGTTATGATAATATGCGTTTGCGATATTTTGAATTCCTTATGCCACTAAACTCTCCAGTTTTCCACGGCCAAGCTATGAAAGATAAATCGAAGAGGATCTGCAGGAGACAACAATTCCACTGCAAAACGTGCCAGGTGGAGGAAAAAGTTACAGAGCATAATCATCTCTATCATCTCACGCACCGGATCAATTATAAGCAAAAGTGGTGAGATTTTGGGCATAATCCACTGACGCGATTACTAGAAGCTAGGTGTAATTATGCCGCAAGAGACATGAGGCCATGAGGATGTGGACGACGCAGACGTAGCGATTGAACGATTTATTAGCAATCGTGTCGCGCACATGCCATATCCGTGGCGAAGTTGTTATCACCTCACTTAATCCCTCGTGGTACACGTCAACAAAAAGTGTTACACTGTTCTTCACAGCGTACTGACTGCTCAAAGTTAAAATGCAAACCAAAATTTTAAAGCGGTTACCAATCGATTTCGTTGGTTACAATTTACATTTTCCCCAACTGTCCTATTGTGGCGACCGATGATTCCTCCGTTCACTTGAGGCATGATGGTATGCTTCTTCTAAAATATTAGGTTTTACATAGTACCCATGGCATATAAGGCATCTATCTGTTCGCCTGCGTGCTCCTGTTCCTGTTTGAGTAGCTCAGCACAAGTTTGCGCTGTTCTCGACTTCGAACTGCGCTCGCCTTTTTCTGCATTGTTGCCGGTTCGAGTGGTCTCCGATGGATGGCCTGGTGTTGTCTAAGCTTGTTAAGGATACATCTTGGACTTTCTTAACCGAATGCCCCCCAGATGCTGCCTGGGAAACATTTACAAGGACGTTTAGCACACTGGTTGCGCACGCATCAGAACAGAAGTCCTTCCAACCCAAAAACAAGCGTAAGTCATTTCTGAGGAGCATAACACGTAAATGTATGTCTCGGAGGGATTTGGCATGACGAGATCACCAGGACTGCCCGAATGCCGAAACCTGGACTGCATACGTGACACATCGTAACTTCTGCGTGAAACTGATCCGCGAAGACAAGGTCACTCATCAGCAGAAGTTAATGAAGCGATTCTGCACGAACCGAAAACTCCTGTACCGGCACGTTAACGGCCTTCGAAAGGTAAAGCGAGGGGTTCCAGCGCTAGTCACGGCTGATGGGTGCACGCGATCAGCAATGGAAGCAGCTGATCTCCTACGGCTTCATTACTCCCAAACTTTCCAGCAGGTAACGAGCGCAAACATTCTCCTCATTTCTAATACTCCACCATCTGGTTTAGAAAACATCACCTTCACTGCGGAAGCTGTGTTGAAGAAGTTGTTATCCTTGCGTATCCACAGTTTTCCCGGAGCTGACAACATCCGACCAAAGGCTCTACAGGCGGTAGCTAGTGATCTAGCAGAACCGCTGGCTGTTTTCTATTAGCGATGTCTAGAAGAGAACCGTATTCCACCAGTTTGGAAGCGAGGGGTCATCACTCCTATCCATAAAGGAGGTATCCGCACTGATCCTGCCAACTGCCGTCCAATAATACTACTTCCCGTATTATCCAAAGTGATAAAATCAATCATCGCAGATGCGCTGATGCAATACCTGAAAAGCCACAATTTAATAGCCCCAGCGCAACATGGCTTTCGTCAAAAGCATTCGTGTAATACTAACCTATTAATTGCACGTAATAGCTGGACTGAAGCTGTTGATGATGGAGTGGGAGTCGATGTCATCTACCTGGACTTTTCAAAAGCGTTTGATCACTTAGACCATCGAATTCTCCTTCAGAAGCTTCGGAACTACGGCATTGGCGACCCAATCCTGAGTTGGATTGGTAATTTTCTACAAGAACGACGTATAGTGGTGAGAGTCCGAGAATCGTATTCTCATGCAGTCGATGTGACGTGGGGAGTACCACAAGGCTCGGTTCTTGGACCTCGTCTATTCTTGGTGTTCATTAAAGATTTGGCGAGAGCAATTACTTCCGATTTCCTATTTTTCGCTGATGATATCAAGATATGGCGAAGGATCAGAGGACCGGACGACCATGAACGGCTCCAGTGCGATCTTAACACCGTGTCGAACTGGTCAGTTCAAAGCGCCCTACCGTTCAGCGTAGACAAATGTCGCGTAGTACAATTACCCCATAGACATAATTACACTTATTTACTTGGGACAAACAGATTGCAGAATAGCTCCCAGGAACGTGACCTTGGTGTGACCGTACAGAGCGACCTCAACTGGTCAAAACAGACTGAGGTAGCTGCGAAAAGAGACAATCAGCACGTCGGCATGCTGCGAAGGGCATTCGAGAGATTTGACCCATCAATCTTCCCAATGATGCACAATTCCTGTGTGCGTCCGCATGTTGAATACGCTATCTAAGCTTGGCGACCTTGGTTAAAGCGCGACCTAGAGGTGTTAGAGGCACCACAACGAAGAGCAACAAAGAATGTGCAGGGTCTGCGCTATCACTCTTACCACCGAAGGCTGAAGTTGCTGGGAATTTTCAGCTGACGCTATCGAAGGCTGCGCGGCGATCTCATATTAGCGTAT